ATTCCTTCTAATCCATCTCTTATAAACCTCCATACCACACATATCCAAATCAAATTTCATATATTCACACACCTAAATCAAACTTAATCACCCAACCAAAAGGATAATCCAACATCAATAAGAATCTCAAATGGGAAAATAAGGGAACATTCGCACAGCCAAATGAAATTTGGAACTTCACTTTGATGAAAGAAAGATGACTGAAAAAGCTCAATTGAAACATGCTTAATCTTACCTGGTAAATGCTGTGAACTTTGATGTGAAAATAGTGAAATCAGTAGAGGGAAAATAGAAGGATGACATAGAGGAACACATGCATACATTCAGATCACCATTGAAAGACACCTTGCAATAGGAAACTGAAAGGGCAAAAATTGATTAAGCAACAAGATGACACCTAGTCATTAGAGAAAATTGAAAAGACAAAAATACCCCTAAATAATGAAGCAAGCATGTTGAACTATCCTTTTCTACTATAGTAGAATACAAAAATAATTGTACTATTACTAAGAAATCTATATGTTATAAAAAATAACAAAGATTTCCAATATTGTGAGAATTTAATTTGTCTATTTTTTTTATTTTTTTGATTTATTTTTTGGAAAAAGATTCAAACTTTTCATATTTATCTAAAATGTCAATATTTTAATTTGTTATGTATTTGATTTATGCATTTTTTATTTGCTTGATTTTTAGGATTACGATTATTTAGAAAGGAGAAAATCAAGGGAGATAATTTTTTTTTTAAAAAAAAGCTACATATCACTTAAGATTCTCATCAGTTATCATTTCTAAAAAAAAAAATCCTTTTTTCATCTGATCGGATCAACTTTCCATTTTACTATTTTTTCATTATAATTGTACCAATAATTTTACATTTTATGTGCTCACTTTACCATTCAAATTAAAATTATCTCTTTTACTTTTGTAGTAAAAATTACAAATTGTATTTCAGTGATCAAAATTATATTAATGCCAAATGTATTTTGCTTTTATTTTGTATTACAAAAATATTAATGACAATATAATTTATTACATATTAATATGATTTATGAAAAAAATACAAGATTTTGAAAAAAAATAGCATATATAGTGAAAATAATATAATATGTCGAAAAAGTATATTATACTTTTAAAATTTCCAATGTGAGAATTAAATTTGTCTATTTTTTTGTTTGTTTTGGATTTAACTTTTTATATCATATTTATTAAGTTATGACATTTTGACTTTCAAATATTATAAATGATACTTTGATACATTAACTCGAGTAAAAACAAAAAGATTATTGAATTTGTACCACTAACTTTAGTGAAAGGACAAAGTTTGGGTATATTTTTTAAAATATTAAAAGTGAAAGGACACTTGTTCTTCATATTTTTATTTTTTTTTGCGTTTTTTCTTAAATAAAAATAAAAATAAAAATTTGGGGTCAGGGATGTCCAATAAAATGAAAGTTTTGATTGTTGACCATTTTAAATCTATTAAAACTCTGAAATACAAGTAACAAACATAAGTTTCTTCGTAGTTATAATTTTATTTACGGTTGCAATTCGTATATTTCACTTACGAATATATAAATAGGGTAAGTATATATAAATTATATATTTATATGTTTACATTTTTTTCTAAATTCTATATGGTATATTTCACTTGCCAATATATAAATATGAGTCTGGAGTCTAAATGGTATAAAATATTAACAAAAATTTTAAAACGGTATATAAAATTTTATATCAACCAAAATGGCAAAATCACTTTAAAAAAATTCAAATCGCTACCTAGGCAGCAATTTTTTTAAAAAAATTCTTTTTTTTTAGAAAATCGCTGCATAGGCAGCGATTTCCCAACTTTTTTTTTTAAAAAAAATGGAAATCGCTGCGGGCAGCGATTTTCTAAAAAAAACTTTTTAAAGAAAATCATAGGAAAAAACAAATTTTATTGATTTTTCAAATATTTTTTTGAAATTCAAATATATAGCTTATAAGAAAATATGCATTGTTTTAAATTAAGAATAAGTAAGGTAACAAAAGTATTTTATTTCTAATAAAAGATATTATATTGAATTTAAATTTAAATGATGTTTGAGTTCAAATAGAATTTAACTTTTTAACCTCTTTTATTTATATTTCCACAATGTCATATAATGTTAATCTTCATATTTTTTCATCACCGATCATTAGTTTCATTGGTGAGTTTACTACCTTCTTCATATTCTTTATTTATCATAGATTTTTTTTTAAAAAAAAAATTATTTTCTATATGCAGATGAGAGATTGTCCATTTTTAAAAAGAAATTAGTTTTTTTTTAGAAAATCGCTGTCTTTCATTTTTTTTTAAATAAAAAATTTAAAGAAAATCTCTTTTAAATTTTCTTTTTTTAGAAAATCGTTGTCTAGGCAGCGATTTCCATTTTTTTTTAAAAAAATCGCTGCCTAGGTAGCGATTTGAATTTTTTTTTTTAAAAAAAATAGATTTTGCAAAATCGCTGTTGTTCCAGCGATTTTACCGTTTTGGTTAATATAAAATTTTATATACCGTTTTGGAATTTTTGTTAATATTTTATACCCTTTAGGCTCCAGACTCATATAAATAGGTTAAATCATTATGATTTTTTCATATACAAATTGCTAGGATAAGTATATACACAATTCTGAATTTATACAATCAGAAAATGAATTATACAAATTCTGAATTTATTCAAATTAGATAAATAGCAAGAATTAAAAAACTGTAACCGCGAATTACAATTTTCTTAAACCGTATCTAGAGTAGTTAAACATGCAATGTTAAAGTACTATACATCTTTCACTTTTTCTTTCCCTTTCCTTAATTTCAAATTGCAATAGTCTTAAATTGAAATGATTCAAAAAATTATATAAAGCAAGAAATTAGGATAGGTGTTTGTACAAAATAAATTACATCTCATCACAAATTTGTTGCTCAACATGGTTTATGATACTCATCATAATAGGTATTTATTCCTAAAAATATTTTGTTTAAGCAAATGCATATCAAAATCCTATTTTGATTATTTTCAAGATGTGATCTATCAATAATACTATATGATAAAAAAAAAATAATTAAGGTTTGCAAAATGTGGAAAGTTTATCAAACTATTTGAGTGAAAAATAGGGGAAGGGATACAAGGTTGGAATTGAAATCTCATTTAACAAGGTAAACAGTCTTAATTTTTGTTTACCTTCAAATTTTTTGACAAAGAATTTAATGGTAAATTTATTGACCATCTTAAACTCTCCACTCATTAAGTTTTAATGGACCAATTAATTTCAACTAAACCCAATACTTTGAATTCCCAATTTAAATCTGAATCGCACACTGCAAATCTCAATCGAGAGATAGCTCTCCAACATAATTTTTTCCATACTCAAGACTCAAATTCGAGACCTTAGTATTTTTTATAAATACTCACTATTTATTCACCCTGTATGTACAATAGGGGCTACTAGCACAACTCAGATCAAATGGTTCTTGATTGGCCCAGTTTCTCTAATTAGGATCTCTTAAACAACTGATCTTTAACCACATTTTAAAATTAATTTAAGCTTCAACTCAAGTTAAAACATCTATGGAATTAAGATGTATCATTTTTTACAAATAAATATATAAATGACGTTAGTTTGTTGCGACCTACTATCTCAAAAGTAAAATTTGCAAAAAGTATTTTTAAATGAAAAACTCCTTGCTTAAAAATAGGTAAAAATCACAATCTATCTCTATATAGGATTCACTCGACTCAATTTAAGGTCACAACTCTCTTTGGACAACTTGTATGAATAAACCGGTTGATTGAGACACATTTTCACCGAGTTGATTTTTCATATGATCATATAAAGTCACATCTTAATAAAACAAATTGAAACTAAAAAAAAGAAAAAAGAGTGACTTTCTGAAATAATAACTACTAACTAAGTAATCATATAAAAAAATCAACCCCTGTTTCACCATTAGGCTAATAATATGTATTTTTTTGTAGGTATTACAAATCAAATTATGTAATACATCTAGACTTCAATATATAGCACTATTTATAATTTAGTATACATATAGTTTTTTTTTCATTCATATACTATATGATAAATGAAATAACACTTGTTCTAACAAGTGAGATTATCCCCAGTATCTACACCAAGTTGTTTGCAATACTGAACATAATGTTGAACCCTTCTAGACACAGGCTCAGGAAGGGCACCATCACACTCAAGAGGACCATTAATAGCTCGAATCGTTGCCCCGAAACCTTGCCCAGAACTTAAGAGAGGTTGGCAAGTGTTCATCCAGTACCACAGGGCAGTTTTGAATGATATTAAACTGTCTCTAGACACAATATCGGGGTCGTTAAGCCCATCGAATCCGATGTCTTTTCCAGCAGGACCATAGTTGAAGTTCCATGATAGTTGTATTGGTCCTCTACCATAATAATTTTGGCCAGAAACACAGGGGTACTCTGAGTTTGTCATGTCACAATAGTCCCTAGATGAACCATTTATCTCATTTATGTAACACATTTCTGCATATCATAAAACTATACTGTTACTTGTCATATTGTAGGTGTGAAAAATGTTGGTATAAGCCCAGGCACAGATTCGATCAAACTTAATAACTTTTGCTTAAATATATGTGAAAATGCACAGATATCCCCCTAGACTATGATCGGAATTTCAGATACACACCTTAAGTAAACTAAAGTCCTATTACCTTCCTAAACTTATCTTTTTGTAATTTTTGTGCACCTTTTGTCTTACGTGGCACACTCCGTGACTCCACGCAATTGAGGTGCGTGAGAGATGTTTTGATGCGACGTAAGCCAAAAAGTGCATAAAATTACCAAAAAAATAAGTTAATGAGAGTAACAGGACCTTATTTTAGTTAAGATATGAATTTAGTTAAGATATGTCTCAGAAATTTCGATCATAATCTAGGAAATACTTGTACATTTTTCCTAGAATATATAAAATATTAAGTTTAATACTCATATAGTTAGATGGTTCATAATTGACAAGACATATCACATGAAGAATCCAAGAAAAGTGTTTTTTTTTTATATAAAAAAAAACAAAGATAGATACTAAAATTAAGCATATGATATAAAAATTTAAGAAAAATGACTCACGTCCGGTCTCATGTGTGACATGAGCAAAGAAAGCAGCAATTTCGCGCTTATTATCATCATCAGAAAAACCGATAGTTGCGAATTCAGGATAAGACTTTAAAGCTTCAAGAAATACAGATCTCGTGTAAAATCCTTTGCCTTCACAATTTGAAGCAGCTTGATTTGCAATTCCATTGAAAAATGATTCACTAACAATATCAGAAACTCTATTGGTATTATTATTATTATTGTTATTAATATTATGATTGTAATTTTTGGTTGAAGAATTATAACAAGGCCCTCCTTGACAACCTTGTCCACAATAAGCTTTTCCACTGCCACAATAACCCCATCTACTGCAACACAATCCTTCTGTACATCCACAATATTGTGTAGAAGCCAATTTTGGAATTATAATTATAGCTATAGTACATGTTAATAACAAAATCAACAAAATTCTTGAAGAAAAATTTATCATTTTTTTTAAAAAAAATTGAGAGGATAAAAAGAGACCTCTTGTTTGATGGTGTACTAAATGATATAATGAGTATTTATAGAAGCAAAAAAAATTGAATTATTGTTTAAGGTTCAACAATTTTAGTGTTGGGGGATTTTAGGTATAGGTATGTTTCAATTTTTTTTCTTATTATGGGTGTTGCAATAAATTAGGAAGGATATGGTTATGTCATTACTCATAAGGTCCTAGCTTATTAATTAAAAAAGATCACAAGAAATCCTTGAAGCTTTTGATAATTGCAAAGATTTTTAAAGTCTTCAAGTGAAATTACCAGAATACTCAAACTCGAGATCTCTGATTATTAAAGATGAAGAAATATTCACTAGTCACTACATGATAAAAAAAAATAGTGGTAATTAATTAATGAATAATTTAATTACTGTTAAATATGTGTTTTTGACAGCAATTAGCTAGCACTTTTTTTTATATATAAATGTTCCTAAAGCCTATAGCAACATTAGATTCAATAACAAGTAATTAATGTCGATCGTATTGATTTTGAGCACTATTTATTAAATGTATAATTATTGCTTCTCAAAGCTACCCAATCCTTATTTGTAAAATAAGAAATGTTAACTATAGTACAATTAATAATGTTAAAACACTAATCACCAAGCTTGGAACTAAAGCAATTGAATTTAGCTTGGGCAGGCAATTATTTCATAGGTAAATTCTGATTGTTCTCTTTTGAAGCTAAGTTAATTCAATGATTCCATATTATGCCATTAACAAAGTTGATTAAAGTCGTGATTGATTGATTTAAATTTACATAATGTAAACTTTATTTAAAAAGAAAATACTTACTAACAAAATATTTTTGATACTCAAAAATTAATTTAAAATTTTTTTAATTTATAATAAATAAAATATATTTTAATCTGCTTCACCATGATCCTCGCTTGATATTAACGAGGCGTTTTTGGTATATAGTGAAGACTTGCAGAGGGACTACTTTTATAAAAGTAAATATTAGTGGGCTTTACTGGACTTCCACGCAACTATCATAGAAATCATTTACCTCTTCTTTTTATTAGAAAAAGAGTGAGTTTTTGGTATGATAATTACCCTTCAAATCTTCAATACTATCATTGTGAGTTCGAGCCCTCGAGAGAATATATATATATATATATATATATATATTATTCAACTCGGAGATAAAAAGTGACAAACACTAATAAATAGTGAGACAGATCAAAAATCCACCTAAAATATTTTGATTTTTGAAGTTCTATACTCAAACTTTCAAGTGTTTGAACTTCATACTTAAACCATCACCAAATATTTATCGAAATACATCTCTAACTTCCGTTGTTCACTTTTCCTGGTTGAAATGCCAACCAGACCACAAGACTGATCTCCTTTTTTATACATGCAAAGGGCTATGGAGCTGGCATCCACTAAATTAAAAGAAAACACACCAAACAATGTGCCAATTTCATGACTAAATGGTTTTGGAACAGTGGAAAAAGAACTGGTTGAACAAAAAGAAGCAAAAAAATGTCATTTTAAGTTCCCACAACCAAAAAGTATGGACATATGCAGTTGACATGACATTCAAGTATGTAGGCATACTACTTTTAATTTGGTCCCATCTACTTTCAATTGCCAAAGCTGTTGTTCAAGGAATTAAAAGATCAAGATTATGACAAAATTCCTTCAACTGTTCCATAACCCAACAAGCTCTTTAAAAAGTTTGACTAATTTAGATGTGAATAATCAAATTGAGTAAAAACACCTCCTTTCTTCATTCTATGCAGTGGAGTTGTAATGAAGTTTCAGACTTGTCGCCCCAAATGGATGGGGTTCAAATCCTACAACTCTATCCTAGAAACAAAATGGGGGAATAAACCAAAGGACTAAAGTTTCATGTAGAGGCTTTAGCAGCAGCAGATTTCTTTTTCGAAATATCCATCTTTTTGTCAGAATCAGTAGCCTTCCTCTTGTCCTTCCTCTCCCTCTTCTTTAGTGCAGTCAACCGGGCCTTCAGCAAAATTGCATAAGATGCTTGGAAACGCTGGTGATCTTTTGCTCCAACCTGTTAGTTCAATATAATCAAGTGCATCATTAGAGCCACAAGAAGTGAAATGATGCATCAAAACATAAACAACAATTGTATAAACTACATAAGCAACAAGCAAAGACGTGAATACAAATAAGATGACACCACCCATAAGGTGCCTGTTTTATAGATGATTGGTTTTCCTTTCGTAGAGAACAATATTTTGGTTTACATTCTTTATTTTTTGGTGTATGGCTTGTATATGGGATTTCTCCAATCATTAATTAAAACATTACCTTATCAAAAAGAGCAACAAGCAAGAGATGAACACAAACAAGATGAAGAAAAAAAAAGACTACTAAAGTAAAGAAAATTCAAGTTGGTGTTCTTGTCTCCATTTTAGGATGAGGAGAGGCATTCAAGAAGGAAAATGGGGGAGGGCTAACTAGCAGACATACCAGATAAAGTTCTATACTAAAGGGACGTTCACATTCTTAGACACATGACGGGCTGTATCAGCCCATACTTCATGAAATATGTACCATGTGAAAACCTTGTAAATTTCTAAATTTCAAGAAGTAACAAATCAACCAGTATTTGCATGTGCAGGTGAGCGAAATTTAGAACAGAAGTGTGCAACATGCAAATGCTGAAAGGGCTAGCTAGCAGACATACCAGACAAAGTTCTATATTAAAGCGACATTTCACATTCTTGTAACATGACCAGATGTTTTAGCCCAAAATTAGTGCCATGTGTACCATGTGAAAAATCTTGTCAATTTCTCAATTTCAAGAAGTAACAAATCAAAGAGTATTTGCATGTGCAGGTGAGCAAAATTCAGAACAGAAGTGTGCAACTCACAAATGTTGAAAGGGATAGCTAGCAGATACACAAGACAAAGTTCTATATTAAAGAGACACATTCACATTCTTAGACAAGTGACAAGCTAAAAAACTTCATGTCATGTGTATCATGTGGAAAACCTTGTCAATTTCCCTCAAATTTCAAGAAGTAACTAATCAAAGCATATTTGCATGTGCAGGTGAGCAGAATTCAGAACAAAACTGTGCAACTCGCAAATGCTGAAAGGGCTAGCTAACAGACATACCAGACAAAGTTCTATATTAAAGGGAAGTTCACATTCTTAAAGACACGTGATGGGCCGTGTCAGCCCAAACTTCATGCCATGTGTACCATGTAGAAAACCTTGTCAATTTCTCAATTTCAAGAAGTAACAAATCAAAGGAGTATATGGATGTGCAGGTGAGCTATATTCAGAACAAGTGTGCAACTCGCAAATACTGAAAGGGCTAGCTAGCGGACATACCCAACCAAAGTTCTATATTAAAGCGGCTCTCACATTCTTAGATACATGACGGGCTGTTTCAGCCCAAACTCCATGCCGTGTGTTGTACCATGTGGAAAACCTTGTCAATTTCCCAATTTTAAGAAGTAACAAATCAAAGAGTATTTGCATGTGCAGGTGAGCAAAATTCAGAAATGTACAAACATCCTAAAATATCTGCTAACTGCTCTGCTATTTCTAAACCCTTTCTTTACATCAAAAATACAAAATATTCATACAATTTTCTTTGATTATCTAGATTGGGTTAGAGATATCCTCAAAGCATCTGTTGTTTCTTCTCTCCATACTGACCACTATATGCAATATGGTATTATCTTACCGTCCCTTCTGACTCTGTTCCCTCCCTCCACTCCTTATGCATCAGCTAAGTAGGTCAGCAATGTGTTCAGGCGTTACCCAATTTGCTCGAGATATACTTGGAAACACAGACCAGATCTGTGATACAATCTTCCAATGAAGAAAAGATGATTATTAGTTTCTTCATTCTCCTAGCCCAAAAACAAAACATCTGGATACCATCTGAAAGCCCCTCCTTTCCAATTTTTCATCAGTGAGACATGCTCTTCAGGTCACCAACCAAGTGCACCTTGTTTGGGACACTGCACTTCCAAATCTGTTTCCAAGGACCTGGTATGTCCCCTCCTTCCTGGTTGCTCCACCACTTCATTTCTCTAGAGTCTTCTTAATAAGAACTAGTCATCACTGTCATGTTCCCACCTCATTGTGTCTGATCCTGTAGATAAACCTAAGAAACCACTAAGCACTTGTAATAACTCAACAAATCTACCCACTTCTCAATCATTCAAGTGCCTTCTGAATGTGAGATTCCACCTTGAGGGGACAGAGAGTGTGTTTGGTATGAAGGAAAACATTTTCTGGAAAATGTTTTCCAATTTCCACATGTTTGGTTGGGACAAAAGTTTCGGAAAATGATTTCCAAATCAACTCATTTTCCTC